CCTCATGATAATCGCCACAGATGCTGTACTGTATTAGCATCGGACGTGAATGTTCCTGAAAAGCTTAAGATGAATCATCTTCGACATAAAAGTGCTAAGTCGTCTCAAGTATACGACCATGTAACCTCAAAGACTCAACAGAGAGTACAAAATGTTCTTCATGCTGGCTTCAATTACACAAAACAGAAGACTCAAGCTGCATCTTTGCCTTCTMGAAAGAAGATGTCGGAACAAAAGCAAATCGTTGCTGAGCCATCAACCGATAAGAATGTTCTTTCCTCGTCCCCTGGTACTGAGTYGAAAGTAGAACTTCTTGCAGAGCTAAAAAAAGCATCTGCAGTTGCAGCAAAGAAAAGAAAAGCTGATGAAGCTGTTGAGTCCTCCTCCTCTCTTGTCGATCGCGATACTGACAAGAAACATCGTCGACTCAATGACCTTGAAAAGGATCTTGATGAAGCAAAGAAGTCGATTGCGATGCTCACCAGTGAGTTACAGGAAAAGAAGCTTGCAATCGGTATTCGTGAGGGGAAGGATGAGTTTATGCAAAAAGAGCTTGAATGGGAGAAAGAAAAGACTGCTTCCCTTGAAAAGAAACTTGAGTCTGCARCGAATGAGCTCAAGCTTCAACAGCAGCTCATTGCAACGTTGCAGTCGTCGTTGCGGCAGCAACAATCGTYGTGTTGTTTTATGTAATGAAGATCGTCGATGCAAGCAAAAGCAAGCAGCTTTGCAAGCAGCAGCAAGTACAGCAGTATTTAGTAACGAGCAGCTTGCAGCTGCTGAGGAGGAGCRAATAGCTTCCAGCAAAATATCACCGGCATAACAAAATGGTAGCTCRAACGAATAACATTGAAATATCTTCAGTATTGTATATTAGACTAATGATCAGATGAGTTGATTGCGTCAGGATGCTTGTCGGATACTTAATAGAGTTGTTTGTGGAAGGTTCCCCACAAGGCAAGCGCATTAAATGAAACAATTGACTGAACCATAAGTACGAAAAGAGCGTTGATTTTGCTCACAAAATAAGTGACTAGTACATAGTG